TTCAAGAATTGATACGGGATGGCTTAGCGGAGCTACGTATGGAGTGTTAGTTAGGCCGGGAGAAGATTGCATAGGAAGAGGAGACATACAGTTCGACAATGCAATTATTTGTGCTAATATCCAAAACTTTCCCTCCGAATTGGTGAGTCAGGTGGGTAATTGCTTCAAGATGCTCATGTTTATGTCTCAAAGCTTCGCTGGCAGCTAAACGATTGGGATGATAGTCTGCAGCCCTGGAGAGATTGCCGTTGACCCTATCCATTTCACGCTTTTGCGCACCTTTGTCTGCAGAGGCTTCCTGGTTTGAGGCATTTTCTGATGACATGGAAATGGACCCTTCAGGCGAAGTCATTTCACTATGGTGTTGCAAAAGCTCTTCAAAAACCTCGGGACCCAGGATGCTCACTTTGGCTAGAAGAAGCTCTCGTTGAACCAAAGCGGCTTCGGTGTAATCCAGGACAGCCCAGACAGGAACCAGGTCGTCCAATTGGCGGCGGGCTTGTTCAACAACGCCATCCAAGCCGCGCAAAACAATGGTCATGCGAGATAAATCTTCCACCTCCGTATTGCATACGACCAAGCTGTCGATGTTGAAACCACGCGCAGCGAGAATACCGGATATCCGAGAGAGCACACCGGGCTCGTTTTGCACCAAACAATTCAACACATGCCGCTTTGGAGGTTTCGTGGAAGGCACAGGAGTCTCATAAAGAATCGAAGAAACGGCAGCGGGAGCAGACCAGGTGGGCGAATTTTCCGCAACGGGGAGAGGAAGCGGAGATCGACGGTGCAGGGCTTTGTAGGCGAGCGCTGAAGTTGAGCTTGATGACAAACGGGTTTGGCATCTCGGTTGATAGGGCTTCGCCAGTCGGCAAGTAATGCTGGCCACAGAATTGCCCTGGGCGCCGTGTGAAAATCGTGCAATTGAAGTGCGAGTTGCCCTCAAGGCGAAATCCAGCCGAGAAGCCATGGTTGAGGGGCGCTTTGGATTTCTCCTCCGCTGAGGAGGGGATTCCTCAAGAAAGGTTGATTCCACGCAATTCCAAGCTCCGGAGACGTTGAAGGAACTGTCGCTATGCTCGCAAATGGATTTTCTTCCCGCTGCTCCAGCGAGCTCAAAGATACCAAGCCGTCACCACCAGCAAGCAGGGCGTGCAGGGAGCTTGCAGTGACTTTGAATTTATGGGGAAATCCCTGCTGGGCAGCTGCGCGGTGAGTCACATGGTTCCGAGATCGGCCGCCATTTTGGGTTTGACGCCTTGCTGTTTATGGTTTAGAGTTGTGCACGAGCCACGTAGTCACATGACCCAGATAATGTCACGGCACCGATGACTAATCTTTGAGGTCATTTCGCAAATTTGTCCCGAAATCGTCTTGTTGATGATCAAAAAAGCACCGCATGCTCTCTCCTCCTTTGGCTGGACGAAATGGCTGACAGCGAGCGACGCACCAAGCGATCTCGGTTCGACCAAACGGAATCTGAATCCCGGAGATCCCGATTTGATCGACGCTCCCGTTCTCCTTCGACACGACAGTCTGAATCCGCGCGAGAAAGGAGCCCTATAAGCCGACAGCCTCAGAGCCCCGCAAACGATGACAAGAGAAAGCCCAGCACGCCGTCTGATCCCGCTGCTGCTGCAGGTCAGTGCTACAAGATGCCCAGGCCCGGATATCCCTAGATCTTCGTCGCTAATTTAGTGTTGGAACAGCGATGGCTGCCGCCAAAATCAAGGCGCAGCTAGAAGCCCGTGGGGTTCAACAATCTAGCACTCCGCCCGTCCGTTCAGTAAGTTTTGGCTCAAGTTACTGCTTTCCACTGCGATCCGCTGACGAAGACGAAATAGACCGCAAGCCCTTCCGTAAAATCTCCTTCCTCGGCCACGCAACAGTTCCCAAATCTCAATGGTGAGATCTATATCGCGGATGGAGATTACATCAAAGACATTGAGGTCAATGACCTTCGGAACCGTTATACACTGACAAAAGGCGCGACGCAGAGAATGGTAAATATCTCTTATCATATCCGCTGATATTCCCAGGCCCTACCACGGAGCTGGCGATGCATGCATATCGCTGATTCATGGAATACCATCTCCTTTGTTTGTTATGGCTGGCGGTTGAAAGCTTACCCAGACTTTGCATAGCTTCTGACACCCGCTATTTTGCAACTGCTGACCTCCATTGCGTGACATTTAGATTAAAGATGAAACTGGCGCCGGTACGGCACTCCTCCACATATTATATTATCAACCCTTTTTGTGTGTTTGGGAACAGATTGCTCATGAAATTTCAAGATGTCACTACTAGGGGAAGCTATCTCCCGGATAAAAGCATGGCAACTCCTTCGGTAAGTCTGGAATCAGGTCTTGCCTTTGGTAGGAAGTGGGCACGGCTAATACACGGCTCGATCACTAGAACCCGCCGCTGTACCTTCATGTAACGAGCACATCGAAAGAAGGACTGGAGAAAGCTATCGCCAAGATCGAGGAGCTCATGAAGCAGGAGTTGCCGGATCTTGTCGACCAACGAAGATTCCAACGTAAAGAGCGCGAACCAGTTGAACGGGACGAGTTCGGCCGTGTATGTTGATAATTATGATTTCCTCTTCTTGACTATGAGCTCACCTCTTTAATAGCGTAAATGGCCCGAGGAACGTATCCCGATTGGGCTTGAGTCGCTGCCCGGTTTTAACCTCCGTGCACAGGTGGTAGGTCAAGGAGGCCAATACGTCAAACATATCCAACAGGAAACTGGATGCAGGGTACAGATCAAAGGCCGCGGATCAGGATTCAAGGAACATGGCACCAATCAGGAAAGCGACGAGCCCATGTACCTTCATGTTTTGTATGCATTGGGCCCCCACAACAGATCCTATATAAAATGATGGAGCTAACTTATATAAAGAGGCCCTGACCCCGTTGAGGTGCAAAAGGCCAAAGAACTTTGTGAAGACCTGCTGGCAAACGTCAAGGAGCAATTCGAACGATTTAAAGAGCAACCTCCTCCACAACGTGGTTACGGCGGAGGTTACGGCCAACGCGACCGCCAACACTATGGTGTCGGCTATGGCGCAGGTGGTGGAGGCTATAATAACCAATCTCCCCAGACTCCCTCTGCCATGAGTCCGCCAGCGGCGAACGCACCGGGAACAGCACAAGCTCCAGGGGCCGCAAGCACAGCAGATTACAGCGCTCAATATTCGCAATATTATGGGAGGGAGCAGATCCGTATGCCGCTTACGGAGGGTACCAGAATTATGTTGCCTATTATCAGTATATCAACAGCAGGTAGCCGCTCAGCAGCAAGCTCAAGGAACCTCCGCGTCTCCGCCGCCCCCTCCACCTGCCTCTGAGGCCCCACCGCCGCCGCCGCCACCGTCATCTAACACTCCTCCACCGCCTCCTCCTTCAGGTGGATACAACGCTGTATGTTCGACCTAGTCACTGAAAAAAAAAGTCTCTAATTTGTTCTTCTAGGTCCCTCCTCCCCCAGGCTTATAGGCTGTCGAAGCACGGATGTGCTGAGCTTCCCCAGCGAAATGTACCATTGGAGATGTGATTTTATAGTAGCTTTGATCGGTGTTTAATTAGGCATACTAAAACAGTTAGTGAAAATGGAATCAAGCGAGGAAGACAAAATATCAAAGCCAAGTTCACCGGGGCTACTGTACATTATTTAGCTTTATGTCCTTGTCTCCTGCTTGTACGCCTCATAAGTTAACAAAGGGAATATTGCTAGACGCTACAACCGAGCCCACTGAGGTTCACATACAGTCAGAATTGTATGAAGTAGCTAGTATTCCTTTTAACTCTCTTCTACCCAATTAGTCCACAGCCCTAGCGATGGAATCGCAGCATCCAACATCCCCTCGCTGAACGTGCCTTATATACCGTACATGTTAGCCAAAACACGCAGCCATGATAACCTGTTTCCGTCTTCGTAGGTACGTGCGTGTATACCCGACTCATTGCCAATCTGAGCCGGATAACGATGGAGGCCATAAGCGATACTTTGTTTTTTCCTATCCAAAGCCTTGGGGCCTTCCTTGCAAAAGTCACAAGCGTAATCACAACCAGGCCCTGTTGTTCCAGATACTTCACCTGGGAAACGCTGCCCTGATGGCTCGGATGTTTCAAGCTCCAGATCCCCAGAGAATTCCCGGATGATCTCATGTTTGCAACGAGCAGTATCCTCGCAGTATCGGACTACTTTTTCAAAACTCTCTAGCACGGTATGCCGGTTTCGGAACTTGTTCTTCATCTCTTCGCTGAGATTGTCGTACGCGCGTTTGTGGTCGGCTGCTGTGTCGTCTACCATGGGCAACCCTGCGCTAATCATGGTAGCGTCCAGCATCCCGGCGTTGCAATCGCGCAAAATGCGTTCGATGACGCGTTCCCTTTCTTCTGGGCTGTAGTACACCAAGGACACTGCTGCGTGGCCGTCTCGTCCCGCACGGCCAGATTCCTGGACGAATCCTTCGAAGCTACGTGGTGGGGTCCAGTGGACGACGAATCGGACCTGTGGATTGTCAATTCCCATGCCAAATGCATTGGTTGCAACGACGATGTAAAAAGCCGGATGCTCCGATTTACCAGCATCTTTTGAGCGAGTCTTAAACGGAGCCGTCCACACGGTTTGTATACTAGCACGCTCACTTGCTGGGAGACCGGCATGGTAAGCAACAGCTTTTATTTTGGGGCTGATAGAGGCGGAGAGCCTTTCCGCGAGGTCACTGGACATGGCTCTCACAGGGACATATATAATTCCAGACATTGGGGGTGGCTGAGGTTTGACCTGGTCGTTTGGACCTTGAGTTTGCGCTGCGAATCTAGCAATACGGCGATCATGGATGGCTTTCAACCAGGAAAGAAGGTCATGTGTTCGATCTATCACCGGCTCTTCAGAGTCGTAGGAATGTTCTGGAATATATCTGACTTCATAGTGAATATTAGGGCGTGCAGAAGACGTGCAGAATTTTCTCAAAGTGGTCGGGTCCAGACCAAGCAAAGAAATGATATCGTCGCGAACTCGTTTAGTTGCGGTTGCTGTTAGTGCTGTTATTGGGACGGTGGGATTTTGTAGTTCTCGTCGAAACCAGGACAACGCTTTATACGCAGGCCGAAAATCATGACCCCATTCACTGACACAATGTGCCTCATCGATTGCAATTCGATTGAGTTCCCCTTGAGAATGCACCTGTTTGACATGTTTTCTGAATGCTTCTGTTTGACAATATTCTGGGGTTACGTAAAGGAGACGGATAATAGGGTGACCGGAGAGTATGTCTGCGGTAATCGCTTTACGTTTCGATTGAGGAGTAGTTGAATTGATTGTCGCGACGGGTATACCATTTGCTTCAAGGGTAGATACTTGGTCGACCTATAGGACGGTGAACATCCGTGTCCATATTTTTTGAGATAATTCTCAGCAGGATGAGAAACATACCATTAGTGACAAAAGTGGCGAGACCACGATCGTGACTATTTTCAGCATTTCTTTGTCAAATCACTTCTCTAGATTGCGCCGAAAACATTCCACGTACTCCCATGTGAGATAACTGCGGGTAGTTGATAGCATATACTCTTTCCAAATGACGTGGCGGCCTGGAGGAAGACATCGTGGCCTTCAATCACCGCTTGGATGACTTCCCGTTGGAGGGGCCTGAAGGGATAAAAGCGTATTAGACTTGACACCGCATTGCCACATTCACGAAAGGGAGAATCGCACCGAAAAGCTTTCTTTCCAAAGACGCGCCGCAGGGTAAAGTCGACATCAACGCGCTGGTGTTTCATTCCGTCGCCATAGTATTGAGCGCTCGGTGGTACTATCTATCTAATATCATGGTTTAAAGTGTTCTCCTTGAGAAGAATGTCATTATTTTACTCGAGGATACGTTTTGTTTTCCTCTTGGTCGTCGCGTTCCAACCCACGGCCGAGTCGCGATATCATGTGACCATCTGCTTGTCCATCAGCGCAGCAACGCGCAACGGATAGACAGCCAGTTGGCAGCTAACAGGCAGAATGGATGTCTGTACTTCAGACCACGTTGAATGTATTCCCCAACCTCTACTTTTACCGGAATCAGCAGTGATATGACAATATATGTGTTTAACTTCAGTACAGCAAGGGCCTATTTGGCGAAGCTCCTGATAATAACTGTCGAGTGATTCAAATATTCTAATATTTTGATCTGCGCTAATATACATTCTCCGAATTAACGGAAGAATACATGGTATTGTTGTGTGTACTCATGACGTTGACATAAAACGGCGGCACGTAGCTGTGCTCTTGAACGCCGTTACATTTTCGCTACTCCAGCTGGCAGGAGGGCGTTCAAAACTCTGTTTACAAGAATAATATCCTTCATCCTTTGGTCGTTCGGACGCCAAAGCGGCTTGATCTGCTCCCAGACGATATGTACCGCCTTGGGGCCACCACAGGCAAAGTGTGCCTGGAGGATCGCAATCACAAGTTTCCGGCCAAGGAAGACTCCGCGTGCGTTGAAATGGTCCTCGCCTTCTTCAGGATCCTCATCTCCTATGATGTCGAAATCCTCAGCACGGAGTGTGAGGACCTCTTTGACACCTAAAGGGTCATCCTCATCCAAATCATAATCTAAATGGGTCGAATCTTCTTGATCGCTTTCGTCTAAAGTATTCAGAGACTCCAGTTGGTCTGGGCTTAACGGTGCTTTCCACTCGAGTTTGGAAATTCTTTCTCGAACCCGCGGAAAGTCCTCCTCTTCTGAAACCTTCAGGTCACGCAAGAATGCCTCCCATGCACACGTCAGTCGTCGGTAATTCCAGTGAGAATCCTTTGTGGCACCGTGTCTTGCAAATCCTTCAAACAAAAATAGATATACCATCCCTTGCGGGGGCAGTTTGAATGTATTTTCCAAATCTTGTAAGAATGTGAGAAATTTTTCTAGGTCTCCAGAAACAAATGCGTGGTATGATAAAAATATATGGAACGTCTTCGAGTCAGGTATTAATGGCACAGCTGCTTGTATCGCACGATGGTGTTTCGGCAGCTTATCATGAAGGTAAGATGCCATGCTATAAATCCGGCTCCGGTACTTATTTGCCTGCCGATAAGCAAGGTAATTGTCTGATGGTAGTGGTGGCAGTGCTGCGTGAGAGTCGTCCGGACTTTCGATGAGTTTGAGGTGAGCATTTTTCATATTGTCATACATCTTCTCAGCAAGCCCTATGTGTCCTGTGCGGATTAAGGCAGACATTACACAATTCAAAACCGTCGTGTCGACAATCTGTCCCGCGTTGACAAAGTCATGATAGGCTTGCCGGACTCCGTTGGCATCCCCTCGTAGTCCCCAGTAGAAAATCCGCGCCACCTTTCCGAAACGCGAGAAATCGACGCCGCGATTGTGCATTTCTAAAACAATTTTTTCTGCGACGTTGAATTGCCCTGCTTTTATAGCCAGGTCGAAAAGGATATTGAATGCAACACTGTTACTTTCCGCTTTCCCTTCGTATTCCATTCGCCGCCATAAACCCAGGGCAGACTGGAAGGATTTTCTCGACACCTTGTCGGAGCTTTTTGCGGCGAGCGTAACTGCAGCTGTCCAAAGAGACATCTTAAGTGGGAGACCAGCACTGCACATGTCCTCGATGACGGAAAGATAACGCAACGAGTCGTTAGGATGTCTTCGGCGAGCGTTTGCGAAACGGTGAAGCAGCTTTTTCCGGTTCCAGAAGGAGAGGTAGGAGACTCTAGGTGACGGAAGACATCTGTATGCTCGAAAAACAACCTTGGTGGGAATAGAATCGTCTTGCAGCAAACTGATAAGCCGTCTGACACCCGGAGCTTCTAAGTTATCTTCGATAGAATCCCGTAGACCACCCCCGCCAAAGATTTGCATATCTGCGTTCGGGTTCGACAGAATAACCATTAAACCCTTTGTTCCCTCGACGTAACCAAAAACATTGTGGAAGAACGTGAACAAGTCTCTGTAATTCGGGTGTTGGTTTCGTCTCGCAGCCAAGTACGCTCTTGGGTTTATGGGAACTTCCGGCGGCAGTTCTGATCTCAGGGCATGATATATCAATGCTTCACTTCTCCGCAAACCAAGGATTCCGGGTGGCTCTGAGATTGTTGGTGGAGAAGGAGGTTGCGAAGTTTGTTGTACATTTGTCGAATCGATTGGCAACTGTGGGGGAGGGCTGTCGGTAGGAAATGAATCGGACGAGTTCGAGAAAAGACGCCTCGCACAGGGCGAATGCTTTTTGCAATACCCTGCCATGACAAGGGAATGGATGAAGATATCGGCAAGGGGAATTATACCGGGTCGCGGCCATTTGCGTGACAATTTTGTACCGGAAGATTGCAACGAGTGAGCTAGGATATGCGCCATTGGCTTGGGACCGGAGGAAATATGGCAGGAAGCTTTAAAAGGTATTTGCGCTGAAGCATACCTTTCCAAGTGACCGATGAGAGACATGAGACGGATCACATCGTGCCATCGAGACGGAAACTCGCGTCAACCAGAACTGGTGGTCACAAGGCGGGAAGAGAAGATCCACAACCGATCCGTTTTTGCAAAGCGGAGCGGTTCAAATAATATAGAGCAAGTAGCTTGAGGCCCAAACGCCCGCGGCCACTGTTCAAGATCTGATGTCGCGAAATATAATTTTGGAGATGGTGCCATTCCGTTGATTTGATTGGCTGGACCACGCACCGCAAACTGCCCCAGCGACAAATCGACTTTTTTGACGGACCTCTCTCTGCGCAACTGACACTGTTATCGGTCTCTCAATTGGCTTGCTATCAACACGGAAGCTCGGTGGGAATTATCTCTGGAACTGGAGAACTCGTTGACGTTCACTATACGATCCTTTGCGGCTCCCGCAGCTCTGGCGGCTCCCGTCTCAGCGCTATGGGGAGAATCAACCTGAACGCTCTCCGCGTGAGACAGAATGTTCTTGCACAAAAGGCATGCGGTAAAATATCACAGACACCATGCTGGGTCGACGTACTGTCCGACATCCCCCCTGCGACGGCGCTCGTGCGCAATCTTCCGCAACAACACCCCGTTATCCAGCAACGAGTCAAGACGTTGCCGGGAAAATCAACACCTCAAACAGTCATTGAAACGCGGGAAACTCCCCGCCACAAGAAGAAAAAGGCCAGCCGAATGTTCCTACCAGTTGAAATACGCTATGAGGAGGATCAGCTACGAAAAGAGTTCTTCCGAGACCATCCGTGGGAGCTTGCTCGACCAAGGGTGGTGCTTGAGAGCACTGGAAATGATCATGCCAGATACGACTGGTCCAAAATGCAGCAACCCGGAAAGCGTCTCGACGGTGAAAGGTATACTCTTTCGAGCGGCAACGATGATCTATTGAAAAGCGAGGGCTGACCATTTGTTCTCTAGTGTTGTACAACGCCAATTATATCTTCTGAATACCGTGCCGGATATCACTAAAGGTCAAGCCTACGATATAGCCCGCCGAGAGTTTTATCAGCTTCGATTACAAGAGGATGTTGAGCGAAGGGTGGCGCAGGAAGAAGCGAGAGCCACCGGCGCATACTTCGGCAAGGACGTGACGCAGGTCTCGATGGAGTTAGAAAATAAAGAGTACGATCGCTGGCGAGTCTGGGCACAAAAAGAAGCAGAGCAGCTATCGCAACGTGCCGCTGCTTACTCCGGTGCGAGCCTTGAGCTCAAGGACGACTCGGACGCCGGTCTCCTGGAGGGAGCTGAGCCTGAATTGGACGCACCTGCAGCTGAGATGGCACAACCTGTGACAGCGGGTCTAAGGCGATAAGCTAGATCAGGGGGCGAAAGGTCGTGATTTTGATTAGAAACGCTTGAGAGAAACCAAGTTTGTATGTACAATATATCCAACATTTTATTGGGGGGAGGGGAGCGGCATTTGTATCTATCCACGGGGTGAATACGGGCCATTCAAGCATCTTTACTGCCTTGCATCCTCGTCCCAGGCGATTCCTGCCCATCGCCTTCTCCTCTTCAGAGCCAAATTGATGCCAAGCCCGGGATTAGCTCAGCTCCACGTGACTACCCCGTTGGTGTTTCAAGTCCGGGCGCCACAGCCGTGAAGCAGCGCGAGAAGACGACGAGCAGAACGAACGACATCGCACTGTGGGAATCATCAGGCCACGCTTCAGGTTTCATCGAACCGCCGGCTAAGCAGCGCCACGGGTCTGGAGGAGCTTTTCGAGTGATGGCAGGCGGCTTACTATGCATGTTTTATTGGGTTCTTGAGCTGTCTTACCCTTGACTGTCTCAGCTTGGGTAACACGCTACACTGGCCTTCACCCATTGGATGTCCAGTTTGCTTGGAAATCAGGCGAGAACGCAGAGTCATCACATCGCCCTGACTGGTTACGGCCCTGGGTATGGGTTAACTACACCTCGAATCGACTTGTCAAAAGAATTCGCTCCCGTCTGCAGTGCTTTCGTCGAAACTCAAAAAAGGAATAAATTTCCCTGTCAATAGCATGTCGCCTTCCACCATTATACGCCGACCTTCGAGGCACTTCACCACGACCAAAAACCATTAAAGGAGCAGATTTCATCAGGCTGGATAAGCCTATTCTTGTGAAACGTCATTCGCTGGCAACCGGTGCCTTTTCATAGCCCGCTCAGCGCCATGAGCCGTACCGACGACACGGCACGGGCCTCTCGACCGGCTCGAAGCGACAATTTTGAAGAAGTGAAGGATGGTGGGGGATCTGTGTCAAACAATGGCCCTCCCGCTCGCGACGACACCGCGCCCGCGCGAATTAACCGACCGCACCCCTCTAAATTGCTCACTTGGGAGGAGACCTTGCACCTTGCCAAATGTGCTGTTGAGAATGGTCTTCAAGAGACGAAACGATCCTTGGGCGACAGTGAAGCAGTAGGAGATGTAGTGCGCCCCAAATTGACGATTGATCTTGGGCACAAAAATATCGGTTATGTCCCCGATGAGGTCGTGGATATCATCAAGGACGAGGTTGCAAGGTCAGTCCATTTAATTCTGGGCAGAATCATAGCTCCAAGGAGCTATTTTGTGTTCCTGAGCTGATCACCTGTATTCGACAGGTTGTCGTTGTCAAATAACTATATCGACCGTATCCCTTGTCGCTTCCAAGAATGTATCCATCTTCGGTATCTCAACATTAGAGCGAACAACTTTACGGAATTTCCCAAAGGCGTAGGTGTTTCCAGAATGTACCCCGTTTATTAGAGCGCATGGGCCTAATATGAAGCAGGTATTTAACCTTTCGTTTCTCGAAATCCTCGACCTGAGCCGGAATAAGATTACAAAAATACCCGAAGAGATACGGAATCTCACGTCTCTGCGAGTTCTTTCAGTCATGCAGAACCTCCTAGAAGACCTCCCAAGCGAACTATCTGATATGAATAAACTCCAAGTGTTGAAGGTGTCCGGCAATTCCCTAAAATATCCACTGAAACGGATTTTGGATATGAAAGAAGCCGATATCACGGTCACTGAGATGACAGATAATGAAAAGGGAAGCGCATTAACCGCCGAACTCAAGAGGTATCTGAAAAGCAGGCAGCTTACTTTACTTGATGTTGACAACCTAACCGACATAAGGTATGCCTTAAATTTAACGATCTAACTAGCTATTACTAATTGTTTCATAGCGACAGTGCAATGGAAACGCCGAAACCCCCAAAACGGGGTAATCGTTTTCCAGTTATTCCTAGGACTAATGGCACGGATGCATCCCAAGATTCGAAATCCCCATCATACTCGCGGCCCCCTCCAATTCCTATCCGCTCCCATCACCGAATTGCATCAGGCCAAAGTGGTTTCGGACACAATGGAGTTAGTCGATTCAGGTTTCCTTCCGCCAGTGAACGGAACCGAAGTAATAGTGAGGGTGTCATCCAAGGCCCGAGTTCCCTCCATAACAAACGCCTGGGTATGGTTAGTCGAATGAACGACCTCGGCACACTTGATGAAATCCGTCCTTATCGAAACAGCCACTTGCGTGGTTTAAGCCATGGCTCACTGTTACGAAACCAACCCAGTGCAAATTCAAATGGCAGCAACTCCTCCAGCCCAGGTAGCCCCAAGGAGCGCAGGCGATTGCGAGACGGATTTGTTCGACGCATGTCAAGTTTACCCGAGTACAAAATTGAGAAGAAGTTGAAGATACCCATCATCGAAGCCGCTAGGACCTTGCTTTATTCTCTCTATCTGGTTCACCCTCATATATCGTCGTTAATCAACGTTATCAGGGCCGAGGAGTTTCGAAGAACCAGTCTAGAAATTGTTTTCTATAATGCATCTACCCACATTGAACAACTCAATGAAGCGTTGGAGATTGCCGAAGGGGCAAATTTGAGAGATCCCGATACGGTGAAGCGGCTGTCCGATGCTGTCAGACATGAATGCGATACATGCATCAACGCGTACATCCACGTTGCCACGCAATTCCGTCACAATATTTCAAAAATAATATCACTTGTTGACCCGAAATACGTGCGCTCCTTACTGCTCATGATTTATGGGAGCGTTGCTGAACTTCGCAATGTGCACGTTAACCTTGGGGTTGATCAAAAACGAAAGAAACAACCAAGCGCAGTGAAACAGGACATCCTGGAAACGGCCAGGAAGGTACCTCCCATCAATACCAGTGAATACGCAATCACTCCTCCAACCAGAGAGCGTCCCCCACCGATGAGACGACTTCGGAGTGAGACCACAATTCACCAGCAGAACCCCATTATTCAGTCCAACCAACCAACTTCCCATGTCACGAACGGCTTCCCGGGCCCTCCAAACCAGCCATGGCTTTCATCCCTGAGCATAGGTACACGAAGTCGATCCAGTAGCAGGTCCAACACCCTCCTAACTTCGTCGGGACCATCATCCCTCGCGAACACGCCTCGGTCTGGTGAATCCTTTGGCACCCTTTCGGCCTCCACTGTCAGCCGTATCAACCCGATGACCGGCCTAGATGAGTACGAGGAGGAAAGGATCTTTGAGAAGATATTTGTTCAGCTCACAGCCGCCTACCGAGCGGTGTTGCAAGCCGTTCCCGTCGCCTCTCATCAATTCTCCCAGTGCCTTGAGCTAGCAGAGGCGACGCGGGCCCCGCAACCAATACATTCTTTGCTGAGTAAACTAATTTCTCGTTGCCGTACATGTATTGATGTCGCTGAGGCACTTCAAATCAGGCTATCGACCATGAAATTGAAGGAGCCGGGTGGCGGGATGAGAAACCAACGTGAATTTTGGCAGTTATGCAAAACTTTCTTGCAGTCATTCGTTGAATTGGTCATCGACATGCGAGAGGCCAAGAATCTTCGTTTGCTTCCTCCCGATATAGTCGCCATTCTTCGACCTGTTCAAAAGGCAAGCAGGGAGGCAGGAAGGCTGATTGATACCTCCCCTTGGTCATATCTCGCTGAACTGAATACTTCGAATCCGTCGACAATTTTTCCACCATCGATCCAACCTCATCATGTGCAATCTTATTCTAATTCAACGACGGGTTCTGGAACTACCGGATCGCTTTCCCTGACAACCGGGTCATCCCCACAGTCCATTGCAATGCCAGCGACACCGTTAAGTGCTGCCTTGGGTCCTGCAGCGCAAGCTACCGTCCCTTCGGCTCCAGTCAGCGCATGTAGTGACCGTTTTTTCGCGGGCAACCTTTACGAAAGGGCGGATTCATTGCTTTCCATGTCCGGTCCGGCACCGTTATTCATCCGTCGATGACGGTTTTCGACCTATCTCGATGGCTACACACCAGCTTGACGTCCAAAGCACACATTCCTAGTCACATGGCTACTGCCTCGCCATATTTGTCGGAGTTTCCTTTTGACCCAAAGATCAACGTCCATTGTAGGTGTATGCCCGCCTGCTATCTCAGTTTTCAACTGTTCCTACCTATTCTAGTGATGATTTTACATGACTTAAAGCACTTCACTTTGATTCACCATATTGTTTAATTTTGCAGGTGTCATTTGGCACAATAGTGGGCTTAGGAGTTTAAATTATAGGGCTAATCTCATTTTTAATGATGGGATATGAGTGGTGTTTGGTGACCAAGGTGATAATTTTGCAATCTCTCTATTTATGAATTATCTCTCCAAAATTTGAAGCGTTGATTTGAGAGCAATTTTTTACTGATTTCCTTTACAGCATGTGATGGGGTAAACATGAGTCAAGAGCGCCAGGGCATTCCAGTTCTCTGTTTTCCTTTTTGTTTATTGTTTATCGCTGGTATTAGCTTTTTGGTGGCCCCTGATATGGCCATACATGGTGTACTCTGTATAGAAATAGGTATATGTTTATTTGGATGCTGCTACTCCGCATTTCCCCTGACCTTACTGAATGTATCAGGATCTACCTCAAAGATAGAGCCTTACAAAAACGAAAAAATAATTTGAGAAAAAGATTATAACTACCAAACAATATGGGATAGACGCCCACTTCCGCAAAATTCGCCAGTCCACCATTCTAAATATTACACGAAGGTAGGAAATAAAAATTAGCCAGAGTCGGTGCCTTGGCCTCGACTATCTGGGGTTCCATCCCAATAAAAACCTGTAAGTATGATGTTCTTCAAGTAATGCCACATTTCCTTAGACTGGTCCCTAGGCACCGCATGACCCGCCTCCTTGAAGCGATGATATGTTAATCCCCGTTCCCACGTCCACACACCCGCTTCGGAGCCGTTCCACCCCCCCTTGATATCTCCCTTCCTGTCGAGATTCACATTAGTGCCGAAAGGGAGAGTCGGCCGGGCTTTGAAACCCTGCTTTCCGTTCCAGGTCATATTCTGCAGAACCAATTCGACGGCGACGTGGTTGATGACCATGTCGAGTTCGCCCTGGAAGATATGGACGGGGATCCTGTGCGTTGTGAGGATCGAAGGGAGGATCGACTGGGTGGGTGGGACGGGTTGGATAGATGGAGAAAAGAGGGAGTCCAGGATGGTTTGATTGCACGTCTCGAAGCGATGCGGAGTGGTGATTCCCGGGTTAGATGGGCGGATGTTGAGCGCGGATTGGACATCGGCACGATTCAGATATTTAGTCAACGAGCTCAGCGGATTCGGGGTTTTGCAGTCATAGTTGATGTTATACATGCTGTAGCAGCGTTTTTCTCTGATGGTTTCGATGTGATCGCGTGCAGTAGCGTAAGTGGCGCATCGCCCGTAGCACTTGGAGTCAAGGATTGAGGAAAGGATCGCTTTCGGATTGTTGGGTTTAACGCTGCAGCTTGTGTCGCCGGTAAAGCCGGTTGCATTATTCAAACTGGTTGGAATGCCGAAGTGGCCTTTTGGTGGATAGTGCGCTGCTTTTTCTCGCACTGAATCAAGACCACAAATGTGGTCTGCTTTGGCGAACGCATCCACAATATCCGGGGCAACACCGAGCTGTTTGGCTTTCTCTTTGATGTATGCACCGGCCGTAACATCCGACATCGCAATGTTATTTCCTATTGCTCCGTTTCCGATAGCGATGGAAGTCAGGTTGACCGGAAATTCTTTGTTGTGCTTGAGAATCTTCTCAGCAAAATATGGAACGTAAATGCCACCATATGATTCCCCAATCAGATGGGTTCGCTTATGGCGCAAATGAGGAAACACGGTATAAAATTGTTTCAACCAGCTGTAAAAGAGCTCAGTAATCTTTAGGATATCTATAGCCGGAGTGGGGTAGGTAGCTGTAGAGAAACCGGTGCCAACGGGTTGGTCGATGTAAAGAACATGGCCTAACTTAGTCCAGGAATACGGATTGCGCTCGAGTTGACTTGTATCTCCGACAAAAGTGAGGGGCCCGTTTTCAGCAAAAGCTCCAATCATGGACGAACAGCCAGGACCGCCGTTCAGCCAAACTACAAGAGTAAGGAGAGTCAGTAATCGTCCAAGAGCTGCTGTAAATTTGCAGGGCAGACTCACTAATCAAGCGATCGTCATATTTCTTATTTTCGGTCTCGAATAGCCAAAAAAATTGTTCGTTGCCTTCAGCCACCCCAGGCACACCTATGCGGCCTGCCCAGCTGGGAGGAATAGCCGGGGCATTCGGAAGCGACTTGACCACATATTTTGAAGTATCATTTAGTGGCACTGCTCTTTTCCAACCAGGTACGGGAGAGCCATCCTCATTTAGAGGAATTGGGACGAAGGTCGTCCTCCAACTGATTCCTGGAAATTTTGGAGGTGGAGCTGCTTCGATAAGCCCGGCCACGGCAAGAATCGCGGGAAGAAACGAGTTCAGGGGCATTTTGAACTTCTCAAGACGAGGAGCCTAGCGACAATCGGTCACGATACGCTTCAAAAATTCAAGGAATCAACTTTGATACGAGCCTCTGTTGGGGAAGGAGCTAGAACAAATTTATAGCAACGTGGGAACGCCACAGGACGTCGGGCCATAAGGCAGTATGCATGTGGGCATTTTCCGCGCGGCGGGCCGATTGATAGAATGTAAAACCCAGTGAATTTTATTGTAGTGGCATAGAGGGAAAGGGTTTGTTTCCCCGAAAAGGGTATCAATAAGACTGCAATAGCCTGGAGTCTGGCCTCCAAGATCCGAGCTCTTTTTTTCAATGCTGCTATGGAGCGAAAGAGCTGAGTTCCGGTTATTGAAGTGAGCGAGGATTCGATGCCCGATTTTGTTATTATCCTGATTCTCGTAACTCTAGTTACTGTCGTCAAGATTGAAGTGCTATTGGATGCTGTTTTCGGCAATAAATGCTGTGTTGTGGGAGGAACAGCACTTGGGAGAAGAAAACAAGGAGTAGGAAAAACGATATCGCGATTGAGAAATGTCTCGAACTGACTCAATCAAAGAGAAATTCTAGAAAGAAATCATGCATAAAAAGCCAGCAAGAGAGCCCCCCATGCTTATGTATGTAGGCATGGAGTTCTTTGGTGAGCGATCTGCAAATCGCATGATTCAAAATCGTTTGTCCACGAATCGTAGAATTCTCGCGGCGCATATTAGTTACTCTAAATTTGGACGATTGCAGAAACGGACAACACATGTCGCACAACTAGAAAACCGCATCGCCCGACAATTCTCAAAACTAGCAGCGAGTTCACCGCCTACCTCGAATCTTGAAGGAAAGGTGCCATAATTTTGATTTCGAGATACAGGTGAACGCCGGTCCCGAAAACGGCGGCTGAGAGACCAGCAACAGAATCTCGGAGAATTCGTTATGCAGGATGCAAATCAAACGCGGATTTCAGGGCAAGGCCAACCAATCAAGTAAAAGACCAGATAGAACAATGCTCCGAGAGAATAAGAAGTACAAAGCCATAGCATCTCAATATGGGCCTAACGGGGACAGTCGCAGGAAGCACGTTGCGGCGCAGGAGACCCATTCGACTTGGATCACCTGGTTCGCCACAGTGAGGCAGCAGAGCTAGTTAAAATGTATACTGAAAAGCGACCTCGACTGAATGTAGGTCAGAGGATGGAAACCCAAACTCAGCCATCGCAGATATTTCGAGCGACCGTTCAACTGACAACCAGGGTGAGGGAAGGTCAGAACAAGTGCCACGACCAAAGTCGATGATTGCTGCGGAGCTGAACAACGAATCAGCCACATTAGCAATGGGACAGCATGCATTCCCAGAGACACTGTTGGATGATCGTCGTATGAAGATGTCAAAGCTCAATGAAGAGAATGAGATGCGGTGTGTAGAAACGCCGCCGTTGCCGCTTCGGGAATGGCGTCTGCCTCGCCGCTTTTGCGCCATCACACGCCGCTCCAACGCCGTCTTGGCAAGGTCGATTAAAAGGGCTCACGTATAAAAGCTATGTATGTATGGTGTTGGTCATCGAAAGAAGGAAACATGCACTTTCAAAGCTGGGAAGCATAATCGGAGCAGTTACGCCATACGAGCCCACCGCTTTCACCGACGACGAGCTCGCCAAACACAATATCAAGGTCCTACCTTTGGACCTCGAAGACCCATCGACGCAGAATCCTCGTTTCTTCAAGCCATATCCTGAAAATGAGCTTCCGACAATTCCATGGTGCTCCGGAACTATCCCCCTTCATTTGTCACCAGACTACCCGCTCGATGAGCAGGCAGGAAACTGCGGGCGTTTTATAATCTGTGGGGCGTTGGCAAATTGGAGAAGATATTACTATTCAGTGGTCTTCACGCGCGTAAGGAACGATATTTCAACTACTTTTCTTGGTTATTAGATGTTGATCAATCTGGCATATGTTCGTAGGCTCACCTATCTGTACCGTGGAGATGCTCCTGGTATTGTCCAAGAGTACGAGCGATTAGATACGGGGCAGTATACCTGGGGTGTTGGAGAGCAGTCTGAAGTCTCGGACCATACCAAGCATCCGCATTGCAAATTTCATATCCGCCAAGGTACCGACCAGAAGAGTCATTGAGACGCAACGAAATCCGTTCCATTGCAGGCATTATGGGATGGAGAACGAACCAGGCAAAATACAATGCATTTGAAACATTCCCGGTGAGTTTTGATCTAATTGTTATCCACGCAAAATCTCTATGCATATGAACTTATGTTAGTCCTTCATACAGCTACAGGCTCTGTCCCTGTTTGGCCCAATGGCTCGTTTGTTAATAGCGCACTTTGATGGCAATCAGCTTTGTATCCAGAAAAGCCGTTTCTACGATTTGTCGGGCCCCAATGCCGTTGAGACATTCAATTTATTGGCGAGATGGCAGGCAAGCAGTCCTGTTGGTGATACCAGGACTTCATTGACTTTCGACAAACCCCTTACAGCATCCCCAAGTACGCAATCTCGCAGTACGTGGAATGCCAAAGAAATGAGAAGACAAGAGTAAAGAATGGCTTCTTAGAAATGTTACTTATGGCATCCCCCTAAGCTTTTTACAGTTATCGGTTTTGCAATAAGCTAGGAGCTAGAAAGAAGATGAGAGAACAGAGATTCAGCTATCTTTGTATTTTACACGCCGGCTGATGATAACGCTTAACTACTTCTCCTATCCGGCATGGGAACCAACCAAACCGTCAATACTGTTGAAAAATATTACAATTGGGGATATCTAATATGGGAATTGGAAAACAAGGAAATATTGACGATCACGCCCAAAAATTAACAATTTGAGACAACATTTGAAGAGAGAAGAGGCTCAAAAAGAGGGAGAGAGATGGACTGAATCAATCCTCGAAGAAACTTAAAATCGCCCTGATACCCCTTGTTCCCAGTCCACGCTTCGGATATGCAATGTAAACCGGTTCCTCATGGGCTCCCAATTTGGCCCTAAATTCCGTTTTCCGGTTTAGTTTGAACTGTTTGACAATCGCATCATATGTTGTCGACAGCACTTTTGCTTTTGCACTGCTGAGATTATGGCCCGGAGTCAAGTGTGCCGTAGCCCCGCCGCCAAAAGTAAGTGATTTAACCCCCGATTTCGCCGCTGTTTGAATGGCGTGGGTGACGATGTATTCGATGGAGCCGGATGGTGAGCCCGGAAAGTCCAAGCTATATTTGACCTGCATCCCATTCCTGGGGGAGAGTTGTGTAAGCGCGACGAAGGAACAGATCTTTCCATCGCGGTCGGTAGCATAAAAGTATTGTCTGTGCCGCTGGTCGCGCCAAGGGGTGATTTGGGATAGATGGATCTGTGTTCCCTTGCGGTTGGAAAGCCAGTCTTGGATACGGGCGTCGATTTTCCGCTGGACGTTTTCAGGGACAGTCTGGCCAAATCTGAGGGTGGTGACCTTAACGCCGTTGTTTTCAGCCTGGCGGATCTTCCGGGCTATTTCACCGTCAGAGGCTGCTTGATTGCGTGCGGGGTCGACGCGTTCTTCGGCGACGCAAGACAGACTCCGCCAGCCCAGCCTTTCGCCCAGGATATTTTCTACTTCCACAGAGCAGAGAATCCAGATAGGCTTGAGTTTGGTTTCCTTCTTGAGCCAACGGAGGAATTGCGTGACAATTCTGGGGTATTGACTGCTGTCACAAAGCGGGTTGCCGGCGATAATGGCGTAGCCGTGGGCGGGGACATAAGAGACCGCTGCGCCGGTGGCAGCATCTCGCCAGACTTGGAAGCGGTCGTCGAACCAAGATGTCGACGTGGCATCACCATAATTTGCGATGAGATCTGCTAGATCTTGAAGCTTGCGGTCAGATGTCTCTTTGACTTTCTCCGACTTGGAATCGTCCTCCCATGGGGGATCAAGTGTTGATGCATCTGGGTGTCTCAGCAACACAGGCTGATCCTGCGCGGGGAAGCTCTTGGGATCACGGTGGAACAACGAGGCAAGGCGTATATTGCCCAGCTTGAGAATCAGCATAAGCATTCTTTCCAGACCAATACCAGCACCAGCATGAGGCGGAGCACCCCATCTGAATCCCTCCATATACTCCTCCATAGAGGCGGGATCTATCCCCATCTTTTTCATGCGCTCCTCTAACATGACAGGGTCATGAATACGTTGACCGCCAGAGACGATTTCTTGACCTCGTACGAAAATATCATACGAATTGGTGAACCGGCTATCATCAGGATCGGGCATCGCGTAAAAGGGTCGTGCGGCAGCGGGGAATTTGTCCATGATATAATAGTCGGTGTGATACTTTTCTTTGATCAACTCCCCTAATCGAATCTCATCGCGGGTTCCAATGTCCTCCTGATCTGAAAACTCCTTCCCATCTTCAGTTCGCCAGCCAGATTCGTTCAGCATCTTGATACCCTCTGAGAAGGTGATAATTGGAGTCTGGTCCAGCCACAACAGATCTTCAGAGGGAAATTGGTGCTTGATGATTTGCACTTCTCGTCTGTGTCTGTCATAAATCGCGGTAAATATTGCCTTGATCACTTGATCAAGGACGTCCAAAGATTCATGGTAATGCTCTTCGATGACCATTTCCATGTCCAAGCCAGTGTACTCCGTCAAGTGTCTGTGAGTATTGGAATTCTCTGCGCGAAAGACAGCTCCTATCTCGTATACTCGCTCAAAGTCTGACGCGATCGCCATTTGTTTCGCGAGCTGTGGACTTTGGGCTAAGAAGGCCGGTCGGCTGAAATAGTTTACATTGAACACGCTGGCTCCCGATTCGGTGGCCGAGCCCTGTAGCTTCGGGGTGTGTATCTCAATGAAACCATTTGCGTCGAGCGTTGAACGAAAGTACGAGGAGATGGCGGATTGAATGCGGAAAATGGACTGAGAAGTATCTGTTCGAAGATCAAGAATGCGGTTCGTCAACCTCGTCCTATCTGGCACTCTAGTTCGCCTGCCTTCGATCTTCTCCTCGTCTGCCGCGGGCAACTCGGCTTCGTAGACGCTGAATGGAACTGGCTCTTCTCTCCGGACGATGACGTGAAGTTCCCGAATATGGAGTTCAATGTCGTGAATAGTAGTTCCAATTACAGGAACCTCCGGTTTGCGAAGTATACCCTTCACTCTCAGTATCGAGCCCACACGGATATGCTCAGCCCACTGCACCATAAGCGTGGATATCTCTCCTTTAGCCTCCGTAAGGACCCCTTGCAAAGTGATCACCTGCTGGCGGAAAACAAGAAATACCAATTTTTGGCCCATGCGACGAACAACATGAAGCCGCGCACGGAATGTGATCTCTTGCCCGTCCATATCGGACCTGATTGACTCAAACTTGGTGAGGTTCTGTCGGGTGCGGCTCCTTGACTGCATGAGGGGCAGGTCCCCGTATCGGGCTCTCATTTCCTCGGTTTCCTCCTTTGCGGCCTGTTCATCTCTTTCCTTCTTCTTCACAAGATCAACGCTAGAATCTTCGCTTAATCGAGACCGCGATTGCGACTTGGCTTTCCGCCGTGCTTCACGCCTGAGTTCTTTCCTGCTCATGTTCTCGCTGTCGTCGCTTGTGTCGTCACTCGAGTACACGAATTCACGGCCATGCACAAACTGTGATATACTCTTGCGAGGCGGTACCAATTCCGTGTCTGATAGACTGACATTTTTTATCTTTGAAAGTGCGTGTTTGATCGACATGGTGTCTTTGTGATAGTTGACCTTGCAGCGATGGTGCTGACTGTGTTTGAGTAGGCCTTGGGGCCTACAATATATATGCTCAGTACGGGCGTAAACTGAAGGCCACCTTATCGTTTAGTTGAATTCGGCTTCTGGAAAACGAGAGCTTCGCCTCGAGGTATGAATCTGCGAAGAATACAACGGAAAGTTCTATAACTCAGCGCCGACAAGTCGGAAAGTCAGCTCAGTCGGCACAAGTGAGGTCCGGGGCGTACGAATCATCAACACAAAATGTTGGGGAATGGGGCGAATTCACCGTACTTTGGCTCTTCTCAGTGGAATCGTTCCTGAGGGGCGAGAGATAATGGGAAAGATCCGAGAAACAGACAACTCTATAGTTGGTACGCTAAACCTGCGCCACGATCCAGTATGTTTTGGTACGATGTCTATGGTGAAAAGGGAAATTCTCTCGCAAAAGAGACGGCTCCGAGGGCACCGAAGTAGTTTTATATGGCAAAGCACTGGGCGAGCCGGGGGGTTAGATCATCGCAAGGGTGGAGATTTCTTTTCCTTCTCGATCCCGGCCACGCTAACAGGCACAAGCGTGCTAAAAAGTGGCGTAAAAGCTTGAGCAGTCCCCAGCAGAAGAAATTCTGAGCGACAAATCTTGGCTTGAACGCGGGAATGCGTGTACCTATACGGTCTTTTGCTTGTACTGGCAGTGCACTTGAGAGTAACTGCAGCGCTGTAGCAGAAGGCTCGCAATGTGAATCCCACGCCGTCATTGCAATCGCTGGCGACGTCCAGCGCGATCGAGATGACCAATTTAGTGCGAGTGCGAAATCAGCACGGTCGTGACGTCACGCGCGGGAATCCCCAGGATACGATGCTCATGACGTCACTGTTGCTTACAACGCCTAGGGACACCGAGGACACCGAGATCACCGTCGTCGCGAAGAGTCGGGAGCTTTCGGGCAGGGCGACTGAAGGGATAACCACTAGTTATGATCTTTAGGTGGTGCTTGATCTCACGTAGCTGGCTGTCCCTCGACTCCAAGCAGATCGCCATTATATGCTATAGATCGTACATACTGTCCCAAGGATACATTGTAGATGACAGTACAAAACAGATATAGAGGCAGAGGGACGATTGACAGTTTACACACTAAATGATTCAGATTCGTACCCGGGGTGACTGGGGGCATGCCTCGCCGCCAACTTCCACATGAAGTAGTTATGCAACTGGCCGTCTTTTACATTTGTCAGCAGATCTTTGCGAGAGCATTCCATGTCGGCAACGAATGGCTAGACGCTCCGGAGCGGTCCTGAGCTTGATCAAACGAGCGATCAGAACACCTTGTTAGTAATTGTGGCTTGGTTGAGGTTGACAATGGCAATAGAAGGGAACCAGTCCCGCCCATGCTAATAATGACATGCTGTCTTTCCACCTGTGCAGATTGATTGTTGTCAGGGAGCTTTTGGGGCCCGCAAACTGCAAGCCCGCCAAAGCTTGGCTTTGAGTTTAGTTAAGGCCACAAAGCCAATTGCAACGTCATCCATCCAACTGACACGCCTGGGCCTTTGTAGTTACCAAGCTCAACCCCTGAGAGATCAGGATATCAGAACTGCCACCCCCCAGATTTTCAATGGCCCAGGTGTTCCAGAGAGTTATCCTGCGCCCAGCATGACAGCATCTCTTGATAAACTTGGATTTTGATCGCAAATCAAGGCCTCGTTATTGGACGAAGGCACGAGTCGCGAGCCGAGAAGATGGATACATCATCATGGGCTATTCAAACGAAGTCTTCATATATATCGCTTCGCATCTGACTGGTGAACCCGCCACGACTCGACAAAATATTCAAACAACCTGAAATATCTTTCCATGCTCAGACTACCCAGAATCAGCGCAGCGAACAGAGCCGTGAGCTCGATATTACGCCCCAGTATTTATCCAAGCACACTGCCATCTCGTCAATTTTCCGCATCGGCCGCCGCCATGGGCCTCTCAGACTCTATTATAAAGGACCACCGGGAATTGGAAGACTATTACAACCAGATCGTCAATGCAACCGATGATGATACCAAAATCCGGTATCAGAATCAGTTCACTTGGGAGTTGGCACGTCACTCCATCGGCGAGGAGTTGCTGGTTTATCTCGCCTTTGAGGAACATTTGGGCCAAGAAGGCAAACGGATGGCGGACAGAGACAGACAGGAACACCAAGTGGTATGACTCCGCAATTGTAAATACGGTGCAAAGATCTTTCCTAACCCATTCACAGGTCAAAGAGCAACTGGCGGAGTTTCAGGGCATGAAACCCACCGACGCAAACTTCATCCCCACGATCCAATCTCTCATGGGGAACCTAAGCAAGCATATGAAGGAAGAGGAAAACGAGGACCTACCCTCGCTGGAGAAGGCTCTATCGCCGGAAGATAGCGATAAGCCTGAGAAATCATTTAGGCGAACAAAGATGTTCCTTCATTTCCCCGCTCGCAATCCCCATGGCACCGGATAAGCCACCCCATTGAGACGGTCGTTGGTCTGATGACAGCGCCCATGGACAAAATTGGGGATATTTTTAGGAAGTTCCCTCAATAAATAATTCTTGCAAATGAAATTGTTTGTATTTATATCAGCAAAGCTCCATAACAGGATGTAATATCGCATTGGCTACATTTGCACCACGGTCGAGTCTTCATCTTTGTCATCTCATCTTTGACTGATTCGGTATAAAGATGTTGAATTTCCTTCTCTCCAGCAAGCAAAGTAATTTCATTTCATGCCATTCCTTCCGATTAACCGCTCTACCACATTTTGGGCAACGAGGAAGAACACCAGAACCGTAGGAAAGGCAGCCAAGGGTAGCTGCGCGCTATTTAGGAATTTCATGCTACCCTTTTAGGGGTTCGACTGTACCCGTCTTGGGTACTGACTCCATGACGCTAACGCTCCCGCCCAATCCCACCATCAAGCAAATAGCCAGAGTCTAAAAGGCAACTTAGGGAACGGCCCAGTCTTCATCCATCAACACCCCGATATCGAACGGCATCATCTTCTTACGAAGATTTAAGGTTAACCACAGGGATCAGATTTGAAAATGGACAGCGAGGCGCCCGGCCGCGCCCGCAGGCTTCTCCAGCAGCTCTCAGAGTCAGACCGTCCCATCGCTGTACACTTCCACAAGTATTGATGCTGGTTAGGAGCCGAGTGCGAGGAAATTTCACCGACCTTACCTTGATTTGTGAAGGGAAACGATTAGCCGTCCACAGGCTTGTGGTGTGTACTCAGTCAAAGGTGTTGCAGGCTGCGTTTGCGCGGCCATTCGAGGCATGAGGCTCCGACTATCTTGCATAAAAATTTACTAACTTGGCACCACAGGAATCGTTCTCGGGCGAATTCGTGATGAAAGAAGATTCGTTGTTGCTTGTTGAGAAGTTGATCGACTACCTCTATACCACCGACTATGAAGATGTGGTTAAAGAGATTGATGACCATCTGAATGAGAGCCCGTCAATACTCCAGGTAAATGCTAGAATGTTTGCATTGGGAGACAAGTATGACGTCGGAGGCCTCTGCGATCTGTCTGCTGCAAAGTATGCAAGAAGGCTGAATCAACCCGTTGATGGTGTGGAGTATTTGGAGTCTGTCCCGGACGTGTACAATTTAACTGCGACGGTTGTCAAACCACTTAAGGTGATAGCCAGCCAGTTCGGCCGAAAACATATTGCGGAATATATGCTAGCACCTTGGTCCCGCAAATTGTGTGAGAGGGTTTTTACCGAGACCCCCGAATTCGTAAGGGATGTCCTCAACCTATATATAGAGTCCCCTTTGCAAGGCTCCTGCAGCACCTGCGGGAAAGATAAACCAATGCAGCCTACACAGTGTCGATGTCGGATGTGTGGCAGGACCGGAGGCGTTGTGACCGGGGTCCAAGGCGGATTTCCTTGAATCTGAAAAACCTTAGTATAACAGTTGATTCACCATAAAGATCCTCCATAACCATTAGACTACCGCTACTGCTTTTGGTAACTGTAAATCACAAAGCTACGAATTTCCGCTACGGGTCAAATGACATCCGCGCAGGGGACCGGTTGGGATAGGAAGTGAGGAACGGAAAACCCCATGTTCGTGCTGCCTGGCACTCCCTCCACTCGGGAACCCGGGGAGAGTTTCCTCGCGACTTTTATGTATCGCTCGCTTTGTCCTCGTCGCCGTAACACCTGTCATCGTAGGGAGAAGTCGCGGCAGGCTCATATCGAGGAAGCCCGCGTGGAAAGCCTTGCGAGTCCCAAGGCTCTTTGGATGACTGCTGGACGTGTCGAACCATAGGTGATGCCAGATTGGAAACAATGTCATGAAACTGAGGCTGCACACGAAGCTCCTCAAGACACCATGCGGTGTACATGCCAAACCACTGCGTTAAACCATCATTAACAGGAAGTTTCGTGAAGGCTAAATCGAGCATCTGGATTACGGCTAACTGCGCATCCATGTTGTCTGGCCGTTGGATCGATTTAAGCTCTCGAATAAGCTTATCTGAGCACAATGACGAAAGGCCGGGGATTCCGTAGACATGAGCGAATACGTATAGTCGTAAATGGCAAAGCAGTTGATGGTTATCATCAGTATCATCTCCTGTCGTTGCCGTTATCGCCGTCGCATCGTACTTTTCCTTATGGAGATTGATACAGTCGGAATATTCGCCTTTGTATGCCCATTCAATGAATCTGAGTAGTGTTCAGACGCTCGTATCTTTAACTACATATCGTCTCTCCACCTTTTCCTTGCAATTATGTTTAAAAGCTGCATATATTCTCCCGCCTCTCGCGCATAAAAGACTTTCGTGAATCTTGAATCTCTTCTCGGAGTTCTCACAGCAGATGTCAGTTGTTCCGGATTCTAGAAACCTGAGTAAAAAGTTAATATATAGTTAGCGCTTGAACGTCGTGGAGAAAACAGTGCTCACTTAACATAGGGAACTGACAGTCCCCGATCTTTCGCCATTGCTCTGTAGTCTATGGATTAAACGAAGTTGTAAAGTGTTTTCCTGACAGTCTGGCTCATCGCCCAGTTTTATTTACCGATCCCTCCGTAGAGGATAAGGAAGTGCCCGGAGTGATGACACGAGGATCTTCTGATTCTGTGTTCCTATTGGCAGGTCGCTGACTGCAAGATTTCAAAAAACCAGGGAAGCGGCCATTGATATGAGCAAGACACTGCTTAGCATCTATCATACGCATTCCAACCCTGAAAGAAGGCAAGCTTTACTACTAGAAAAAGCGAGCACGGACAGAATGCAGGAAGGATCAAATTTGTGAAGAGTCCACTGAGTCAGGTACCAGAATGCTCTGTTGTATCCAATCTTCCACGGCTTTTGATGTTGTGGCTGCATGGCTCCTCGGTGACTCATTAGGGGGTGGTGATTCGTTATCGGATTCATCAACATTCATCCACTCGTGGTTACTTATTCCTCGCTCCCGTGGGGGATATCCATCTATTCGGAGCCAGCCAAAGATAATTCGCGTAGCATTTTCTGAGGCTGATTCTTCTTCGAGATTCAGAGCTTCGTATCTAATGGGCGTATTTATTGTTGGGTGCCGTGCTGGTGAATGGGCAGGTATAGTGGTTTCAACGCAAAATGGATGTACCAGTTTACCATTTCGACACGCCCAATGGCAACCCGGCATATGGAAACCGTGACCGGTACACTGGGGCATGAAGACGGACTTCAATTACCGCGGTTTCCATTTGCTGTGGTACCTAAAAGGAATCCATGGGAA